AACGCTCCCTTGGACAAGGGGAACTCCTAGATAATTCCCCACATCAGTAGATCTGGTGGCACCACAAATTAACTTAATTTGATCAATAACGTTAGACTTAGTATTGGCAGATATGTACAACAAAGATTTCTCAAAATTAACTTGCTGCCCAGAGAGCTCACAAAACTCCTCAAGAGAATTTTTAATAACCATAGCTTGCTGAACACAAGCCTTAACAAAAAGAATCAAGTCATCTGCAAAGAACATATGCAAAATTCAAGGACCAGACCTCGCTGCCCTAACAGCTTTTCAATCCTTTTTTATCACCCTAGCAGCAATGATGTGACTAAGTTTTTCCATACATAAAACAAAGAGGTAAGGGGAAAAAGGGTCACCTTGTCTAACACCTCTTTGAGGTTTGAAACTCTCAGTAAGCTCCCCATGCATAATTATTTTGTAGGAGACATTCTTGACACAACTTATACTAAGTTGAAGAGAAGTTTCCCCAATACCAATTTATGCATGAGTTTGCTCAATAAAAGACCATTCATGTAACGACCTGGTCCTAAATAAATTTTTAATTATTAATTTATTTAGATAAAAGACCATTTTGCGCATAGAATTTTTTTTATTGTCAAAGTTCACTTTTTGATCAGAAAGGAATTTGGAGATATCAATTGAACCGTTGGGTAGAGCACATGGAGATGAGTTCATAGACACGTAGTGGGCTCGAATCGGAGTTGTAACGAAGAAGTTACGAGAAAAACATCACCAGTGGCACAATTGTAATTATTGCGAAAAAGGTTTGATAAAGTCTGATTTCTCTCTCTCTCTGTACCCGACAACAACCCTCTCCCTCTCTTTCTTTGAAACTCCGGCCACCGGCCATGAAAATGGACTGGACCGGTGCCAAAAGGACCGGCCCAGCCCCGACGTCAAGACATGGCCCTTCCCCGACGTCAACCGTCGTTCCAGTCGTCTAAAAACACGATTTTTAGGCTGATTTTCGTTCGAAACTTCGCCGGCTCCGATCTCTCTCATCCGGCCGCCATTTTTGGTGATCAAGGTATGGTAACTCACCTATTTTTCATGATCTAGTTGATGGTTCGATAGGATTTCAGAAATTTTAAGCGTTGATAGATCAAATTTTGAATTTAAGTTTGGCCGGATTTCGGGATGAAATTCCGGTCACTTCTGGTCCTTTTTTGGGGTAGGCCAAAGAACAAAAGTGTCTCTAATGGTTGTCCTGAACCTAGGGTAGGAAGCTTGGCCATTGATTGTGAGACTTTTCGGCAAGTGGTATCGCTTTGGATACCCACGCTTTGCCAATGCTTGTGGCGGAGCGTGGGCAGAGTGGTTGAGCTACATACTATCCTAAAATGATCTCCTAGTTGTCACGAGAGCGTAGGTGTGCTCGAATTCTAATTTGGATACCTTTTGAGCGTCAAACGTATTTCGCCTAATATTTGATTTTTGGGTTCGATAGGTTCAAACTGTTGGATCGAACTCGAATTCAAGTATGTTGATCTAGGAAATTGCATGATCATATAGGATTTGATGGATCGTTAAACGGAGTCCCGGATACTCCGGAAAATCCAACCTTAGGGTTAGGTTTATAGTAATCGTCCGATCGTGATTTATCCGACCGTTCGATGTGGACCAAACTTGCAGGACGTGCATCCTAAACCTTGTGGAACCCATAGGAACTTTTGGATCGTAAAACGGAGGTCGTGGGCCCGTGGGCCTAGTTGACCAAGTTCAGGTAGTTTAACCCCTCGGTTAACTGTAAGTCTTTTGAGGTAGTTTCACCATTCGAGGAGTACTAGAACAACCTTATTAACGAGTCTCGACCGTTGTTGAGTTATGTTGACTATGTTGGGATAATTGAGTTGAGTGAGTTATGAAAGTGAGCCTTGGGCTCGGCTATGATTATTAGGTAGTGAGTGGACTTTATTTTCAAATCATAAGCATGGTTTTATGATGAAAAAATTATGCATAATGTTTTAATGGTGTATTGGATATATTATGTATTCAATTGTTGAATTTGATGTTGTATTAAAGTTTTTGCAATATATGTTGGGTTTTGACATATTTGAGTATTTGGAGTATGTATATATGGATTTTGAGAATTTCTACCTATGTTTGACTATGTGTGGGGTACTTGGGTTGTTGTTGTGAGGTTGTGGAAAGAAATGAGTTTAGAATGTCAGTATGAAGTGCTATTAGCACTGCCTCATGTACCTCACTAGATACGGATTATATGTTTGAGAGCTTATTATCTATACTAGAAATAAATCTTTAGAACAATTGAATTAAGGAAATATCTTTAAAATATTGTTATAAGGGTTACAAACTCCACCATCATACATACCTTCCCTGGTTACTATACACACGCGTGCCGTGTTTCAGGCGTGTGGGCTTCCTTGGTCACGGTCCTAGAATTGTTGGATACTGAAAAATTGTGGATATGGTTTGGATATGTTGGCACTCGGACACCCTTGACAGGGTGTTTTGTGGACCCTTAGGGGGATAGTTTACACACGTAGGACTTGTCACAGGCGTACGAGTCTTGAGGGTCTCAGCTGTACTTGCTGGCTGAGAGTTCATCCCCTAGTTGGACGGCTCATTCCCTAGCCACATGGTTGTTGAGGACTCCTCCATGTGGTCTAGTTAAACGATCCCCAGTTGAATTGTTTTCCCCCAATACATGATGTGCATCATCATATGTACCTTTCCTTGGATCCTGTCCGGGGGCGGGTCCTGTCAATTCAAATCTGTCATAAGCCTTAGAGAGGTCAATTTTCCAAGCTATATACCCAATTTTACCTCTTACTCTATGGAATCTATGCAAAACCTGTTGAGCAATGAAAATATTATCTAAAATTTGTCTTCCAGGAACAAAGCTAACTTGATTGGGCCTAACAAACTTACACATAAGAGGTTTGAGCCTTCCAACAATGATCTTAGAAACAACTTTGTATAAAGTGTTGCATAGGCTAATTGGACGGAACTGCAGCATGCTCTAAGGATTAGTGATTTTAGGAACCAGAGTAATAAGAGTACTGCTCAAAAACTTTGGAACGGAACCACTAGAAAAACACTTAAACACCAAAGCTTCAATATCTTTCTTACAAAGAAACCAACAATTAGGGGAAAAAAAAAAGCAGAATAGCCATTTAGACTAGGAGCATTATAGGGACCAATAGCAAAGAGAGCATCTTGCACCTCCTTTTCAGTCACCTCCTTACTAACAACAGTCAAATCAGCCTTAGAAATATGCAGAAAAAGAGAAGGCAAATGACTACTAATGTTATCAACAACACCATCCAAAAAAAGGTCATGAATACTCAACAACAAGTGCTTTCAAACCCTCTTTACTAGAGATCCAATCTCCATTATTATCTTTAAGCCTTTCAATCCTATTCTTTCTTCTTCTAACAAGAGTAGTAATGTGAAAAAACTTGGTATTTCTATCCCCAATCTGCAGGGCAAGTGACAATTTGGAGGGGCGAGATAATTAGGGCACGAGAAAGCTGAGGTAAGACTTGCCATTTTCTTGGGATGCAAGAGAAGATAGCTTTCTCATTGGTGTCGTCGTTTCTTGCTTAAAAAGCTACGTATAAACTCGAGCACCTGAGTTGTCTCATTCGCGGCGCCACGCAAAGCAGCGTCCCCCCCCTCATTAAATCCTCACCTTTTATGATTGTAATGTATGTATTGCAGTATATAGGTGAAAAAGGATGGTTATCAATTAAATTGTACAACAACTAAACCCAAGGGTTATTGTAAACTGTCGATTAGGCCCAACCCCAAACGGCCAAATCTAACTGCTTTGTTTGGATTAGTTTCGGGCCAGTTTATTTCATCGGTCGGAATTACGATAAAAGTGACTAATTAACTAATGGTCTAGTGTGATTTATATTTAATTCGAGTTCTCCTCCGATTATTAATATATAAAAATACGATCAACAAACATTTTCAATTAAGAAATATATAACATGAAACATTCCGCTTTATTAGATGATATTATTTATCTAAATTATTATCACTATATAAATTCTTTACCCAATTTAATTAATAAAATCCCCTTTTACATTTTTAGGTAGTTATATGACGAATGTGCCAATTTTGAGTAATCTGTTTTAGTGAAGTGGCATAGAGAAAAGAAGGTAAGGAGATCCTAGCTGAGGATCCGAATCCCAACCATATGGTAATCCCTGAATGGGAAACCATAAATGGCAGTCATACGAATCCAAAGATTGCAAAATACAAAATGTTACAGGTCACATTCAAATCTCCCTTTAGGGATGCTAATCATGACCAATGTATATGTACCATTAATTGAGAATCTAGGAGATTAGAAGAGTTTGACTGACAGTGTGTGGATTAGCCTTAAGATTGTTATAAAAGAAGACATAGAGATCGAGGAGAGCTTGCAGGTTATTAGCACTGTGACCGTTGAGTACATATTTTTCATATTTGTTCTCAGAGACAGAGATGAAGGGCCAGGCAGCTTTTTTCCCTATGCTTATTTTGCTTCTCTTGGTTTTCTCTCTTGGTATATGCATGTCCTTTTTTATATATATAAATATATTAGGCTTTTTGGTTCACAATCTGAATTCATGCTTGGTTTATGGCTTCACATGTCTTAACCTCTCTTTTTTGGGTGGATATTTAGGTAAAATGCAAGGAGAGGCACAAACATGCTCCTCCCCTACTATTCCAATTATGAACTGCTCAAAGCAATCCTGTATCTTAACCTGCATTCAACAATATGGTGGAAACATCAATGGCGGATGCATCGACAATGATACGTGTTGTTGCAAGAATTGAAGGAGCCCCAAAAGTTAATGGTGAATCTGACATCAATAGTTAACCATAAACCAAGCTCATAAGCTTGAACTCAAATGACATTTCACTCATAGGCGGAAGTCTTGTGTCCGATTCCTTCCTTCTCAATATCGTTTGTATCGGGTAAAACATAATGATATTGACAATAAATATTTGGCTTGGTAGCCTGATTTAGTGATTGCAAATCTTTTTGCTCTTTACTTTCTGTGATGTTAGACTTATCCACAACCAAATCCTACGTAACTACGTTAAAACTAGTTCAAAATATCAGAATCCAGAAATGGCTGCACCTATTTTAACCAGCGGCCTAGTGCCAATGATGATAAATCCAAAACATTCACAAATAAAGGTCTTATTAAAGGTTACATAAGAAATGCAGGAAGGAAACTCCACAAAGGGAGCGTAGCATCTTATTGATCTTCAAGATTCAAAGAATGATATATATCACTTCTGAGGAGAAACTTCACTTGGGGTTTTGGTAGTCATCTGATCAACTGCATGCACTGTGGTTTGAAGTTCCTCCCATATGGCTTTGTACACCATCCTCTGCCTATTGACAGCCGATTGTCCCTCAAAGGATGAAGAGATAACATCAATGCTCACATGCCGACCATCCCCGCTAGCATCTTTTACACTAACCGATTCAGCATTTAGCTGTTCCTTGATTTTGTTCTCCATGGATTGCATGAGGGGGGAGTCGAAGGTGCCAGCACTGTTGAAGTTTGTGGCTCGAGCAGTGAATCTCCTCAAACCACCATATTGCTCCAATCTCAGATTGTTCCTACATTCATTGCTGCTTGCTCTGCTATTCACCAATCTGATGCTTTGAGTCTCAAATACCAACTGTTTTTTCCTCAGTCCAGCAAATAAATATGGCAGAGCATGACTTAGTGTCGAGGGTGATAACACGTAAGGACGCACCATCATTGTCTTGGCTGCCATTCTTCCCTTTCTCTACCTCTACCTCCACCCCAGTCGTTGCTCTAAGCTATACTTTTAATCCCACTATTTTCTTACTTAAGGACTCTAAAAGTAATGGGGGCACCTGCAAGAATATGATGGTGCAAATCAAAATTGGAAGGGATAAATCATACGCTAAACTGCAAGTTTGCTAAAGCAAATTCATTTGAACTAAGTCCACTGTAAGTTTAAACAACATCCAATGTTAGAATAGAAACACTTCGATTCCAGCACAGACATCTGCACCTACTCACTTCTTCCAAAACATATGGTATGATTTCAATAACAATTGTCCTACCGACCAATTTAAGTAAAAGTTAGTGCCATATCCCAATTACAAAATCTGATATGAGCTACAAAACCCTCTTAAGCTCAAAAATGATGCAAAAGTATGCAATTTTCCTCATTACCAATACCAAAATAAATTTTCGTTCCGTTTCTCTTTTTGTTCCTGAATCCCTCAGCTAAAATCACATTGCTCCTCAAAACTCAATATCCCAAATGGAGTGATAAGCCTAGCAACTATATTGAATCAAATCTTAAGAACCCATTAACAGAAATAAGCTACAGAAAACGTGACAAGCAGTAAATTCAGAAGAAAACCCCATAAAAGAGTTGAAGAATTTTTTATATATATTGAATCTGTATCATAATGATATAAGCTCCTGTATTTATGAGAGATGCAAAAATGAGAAAAATAACAATTCATAGGTTTTAATTTTAGAGGCAGAGGCAACGATATAGATAACA